AGTCCTGCCATTCGGACATTGAGTATGGACTACATCATAAATCAGCATTTTGTCGTATTGATATAAACCACATACTCAGCACAGGCGAACGTACACATGGACTGGATTTTGCTATTCAAAGAAGGACATTTTTTTTTTGGAACGTCATGTGAACAATGACCGAATGACAAACGTATGCATTTTAATCATATTAATAAATAAAAAGAAAATAAAATAATATAAGAATATTGTATGTGGCGTTCCTATATATGGAGGAGTAGGGGTACGTGAATGATTTCAGCCATTGTTGGCGAAATTTTATTAATGTGACATTTATCACAATGAGATATTGCCGAAATTCCATATTGTTGTATTGAGAAACTGAAAAGTTTTTGGAGAAAAAAATTATGCTATATTATGGTACTGTTTGGAACATAAAGCTTATGAAACTTTCTCCGCAAGAAAAAGAGAAGAAGGAATGGGATTTTAGTTCGGCCAGACCGAATATTTTGTACCATCTATTATGGTTCAATTTAAAATGTAACCAACATTTTGGTTTTACCTTTAAGTGAGCTATGTGTCAGAAGCTGCAAAACACTAAATATATTTCAGACACAAACCAGTCGTTATTAGCCAACAATTTAAAGCCATTTTAGTAGGAAAATATCGCTAAGAACTTCAAAACAACAGTAAATGAGTATGAGTAATGTAACAATTAAACCCAAAACATCAAATTACAGGTGGTTTAGTTGTAAATCGGAGCCGAAAATCAGCTATGGAAAATTAGGAGGTACCGTAATATTTAATCAATGTTAGATTGCTTCGGGTTACCATTTTGAAAAATTACAACTACTGTAAAATGTGCAAAAAAGACTCTGTTGCCTTTAAATTTCGCACATCCCGACGTTCGTATTAACTCTGGAAATTGACAAAGGATAGAAAAGAACGGACCACTCTTTTTGGTACCCCCATAACGGACCACATCTTCTAGTATGTTTTCCTACAAAGGGAAGTTAAAGCAACGACTTTCTTCAAACTTTGTGCAACTCAATATATTTATACTCTCCACCATTCTATGGAGGATTGCAGGTCCACGTCTTCGTATAGCCCCCATATAACGGTACCTCCCGATATTCGGTATTTGGATGATTTGAGCGACTTTATTCACCTGAATTGTTTCAAATTTCGTATTCGATGTTTGTTATGGGTACTACAGTCTATGCCTAAAATTTCGTTAGCATGTCCACGTCTTCGTATAGCCGCCATATAACGGTACTTCCCGATATTCGGATGATGTTTTCGTATTCGAAGTTTGTCATGGGTACTACAGCCTATTTCTAAAAATTTCCTACGCAGGTCCACGTCTTCGTATAGCCCCTACATAACGGTATCACCCTTTATTCGGTATTTTTATGATTTTTGCGAAATTATTCGCCGGAATTGTTTCAAATTTCGTATTTGAAAATCTTAATGGGTACTAAAACCCATAACAGAGCGAATTACTTATGCAGGTCCACGTCTTTGTATAGCCTCTGAAAAAAGTGATAACGGTTTTTTTTTTTTTTTTTTTGAAAATTTTCTAGTTCTTTCCAAATTAAAAGTTCAGCCCGGCCGAACTTAACTGTTTTGTTACTTGTTATTAAGATAATATGGGGTATCTCCACCTAAAAGGGTAGCAATTTTTGGGGCCGATCGGTCCCTTACTTCTGGTATGTTCAACATTCTGAATATTGAATTTTGAATTGTCTTAAAAAATACAAAAAAAGATGAAAAAATGGGATATGAAGATCCATCCTCTATATTATGTCCCATAAAACCTATACATATAAAAATAAAAAAGGGTATATATCTGTCGGTAAAAAGGCTAATGCTTTTTAGTCTTTTTATATCTTTATGGTAGACATATACTTGTAAGCCGCATAGTAGGAAAATGTTTTATTTACTCCTAAAAATATGCAAAATATTATATCGGAATAACATCATTTAACAGTAAATCTGCGTTGCCAACTACAAAACTGGTCAGCTTTTACCAATATAACTCACCGGGCGCTCAATTCTAGTTTTCTGAAAACATGAAATGAAAAATGAATTATCTCATAAAAATGGGGAAAAATTTTTTATACCCTACAATACTTTGTCGATTCTGCACATAATAATGTATATATGGGTCTTTTATCTTCATTCGTCCTTCTGTCCATGTTAATTTATAATCAGATTACAGGTAGCAATTTAAAATTTACTTCATATGGTGCACGAAAAGCTCTTGACATATGCTCATAGATTTTTTCAGTAATCTTTTTGAAAAACCCCTTACATATTTATAAACGCTTCCCGCGGATATTAAGAATATATTCGTGCATTTTTAAGACAACTTTGCTGGGTTTCCCTTGACAAAATTGATTTTTTTAAGATTTTTTTTAGAATATCTAATGAATTTAGAAATAATTTATAAGGTAGATTTGTAAGATTTGTTAACAAGTAAGCAAAGGCTATAGTCATGCGGGGCCGACCTTTTGAAATTATGTCTCGGAGCACTACCCGGATATTTTGCGATCATCTCAAGCAAGAGGCCCCTCTGAATCTCCAAATTTAGATTCATTCGTTCGCATTTTGTGTGTTTCGGATATCGGCTGTAAGTAGTTCTGGTATTTTTTAAACAAAAGTAGTGGTCGATTCTACCCACTGTCCTAAACTCTAGCTTCATGCGATATATCGTGTCCTTTGGTTTCTATTTGTGACCATTATAACGGTTGCAAAAGCAGGAACATTTTTAGTTGTTGGTCCATTTCAACCCCTAAATATATTGCGGACATCTTTGAAAATAATCGGCCTAGTCCTTCTGATCCTAACCCAAATTTTCGTGAAGATCGAACGATAATTGCAATCTGTATATAATAACCCCAACATGTGTTGTAAGGTGAAAAAATATTACTAAATTTACACTTCAATATTTTAAGTCAAATTTAAAAAATCGCATGGGATAAAAAATATGAAAAAATGAAAAAAATGTCTCAAAATTCTACAAAATCTGTATTAACATCATTATTGACATCATTTTAAGCGATTTTTTTAGATTTTATATTGTTATGCCAAGAGGGCATTCTGAATTGACAAAATTTGTCAAAATCGGTCCAGCCATTTTTGAGATATAAGCATTATAGCTATCTTCTCTTCCTTTGTATATTATTATCGGCATCTACGTTACGGTCAGAATTGACCTGTTCGCCTATTTGTGATTTCGCCGGGATTAAAAAAATGTGTGTTTGTTTTCTCTTTCGAGACGAGCTTAATGATCAGGAATTTGCAGTGAAAAGGAAAGCCAGATAGACACTATCACACACTCACCACTATGCGACGCGTTTCGCCGTTGGTTAAGCGGCTCATCAGGCATATTTGGTGTGGATGATGGCTTACAAGGGCCGTTCTTTGGAAAGTATTTGGTTTAGTGGAAAATTTGACTTTAATACCACCACCAAATTTGGAAGGCCACCAAAATTGGAAGGCTTCTGCCCAGCCTGAAGCTCCAGCCCCCTGCTAACTTCCGCTACGATTGGTCCATAATTACGTCTTGTAGAGCAACTGCAAAATCAAGAAAATTTTCAGTTTTTGGTCCATTTCAACCCCTAAATATTATGCGATCATCTCCAAAAGATATAGGGTTCTATTCTGACCCTAACCCCACCTACATTCTTAATTTCGTGAAGATCGGTCCATAATTGCGACCTGTAGAGTGATTACAAATTAACATGGACAGACGGACAGACGGACGGACGGACATACATAGCTAGATCGACTCAGCTCGGCGAGATATGAAGATCCATATATACTTTCCTATATGGGAAGCCAATATTTCGAGGTGTTACATAATTTTTGGCCCAATCAAACTTATAATACCCCCAACACATAGTGTTGTAGAGTATAAAAAGCTCTTGACAGCTCTCTGTGAAATACTCTTTTATTGGAATGAATTTCAAGTTATTTAAAAATGGAAAAGAAAAGCCCACTTATTTTTATATCTCCCCCATGAAAGGTTAAAATTTTGGAATAGATTTGTAAATGGCTTTCAAAGGTGTTCTGCAAGCATTTATTTATTATTATTATTATTATTATTATTATTATTATTATTATTATTATTATTGTTATTATTATTATTATTATTATTATTATTATTATTATTATTATTATTATTATTATTATTATTATTATTATTATTATTGTTATTATTATTATTATTATTATTATTATTATTATTATTATTATTATTATTATTATTATTATTATTTTATTATTATTATTATTATTATTATTATTATTATTATTATTATTATTATTATTACTACTAATATTATTATTATTATTATTATTATTATTTATTTATTTATTTATTTATTTACTTAATTTTTTTAAGGTCTTCCTTGAGAAAACTTGACCTTTTTTAAGAATATTTCTATGGTGTCTTCGTCGACATAAATTATGGATTTTTATACACTCAGCCAGAGTGGGATATATCATTTCATACGGCTAAAAAGTGGTGGTTTTAGACGCTAGGTCTCAGGACATTTGAAGTCGATATAGCCATGTCCGTCCGTATGTCCATCTGTTTGGCTGGCTGCACGATCCAAGGGAGTATCCGATTTGGTCTAAACTTGAAATATTATTACCAAACATAGATCGAATTCGGAGATGGGCAATACCGGTCCGCACCTTTTTGTACTTCCCAAACAAGAGGTCGAAATTTTCAAAAAAAAAAAAATAATAATAATAATATTGCACGTAATAAGTAATTTGACTCATGTGGCGCCCAAATGTTTGGTGGAAATAACTATTATTAAATAATTAACTCATTTATCGTGTCGATCATGATCTTTACTTACCTGTTACTTCTTGGCTTCTTTGCATTAACTTAGAGAAGTTTGTTTTCGTTTCCCCTCATCAAAAATTTTGCTTTGACATTACCTGTTACATTGGCTTTCAACTCGAATCAATTTTCAATTAAACTAAACAAAACACTGCAGACAATGTTTTCGTTTTATTTTCTTATTAAATGCGTGTGTTTATTGATGTATTGATGATATCAAGTTCTACAATATTATCTTACACTGGACTACAATGTTATTTACCATTTAATTTTAACTTCTAATGCGAACATCCCCATTTCCGTTTCCTGTTCTCCATACATTTTTTTTTGTTGTTTTTCTTTCCGTTCACTTGTGTGCTTTGCGTTTGTCCGTTCACCATGGTCATGTTCAATCAATTTATGTTACACTCGAGGTTTTTTTTTTTGCTGCCATCACCATCACCATCCGATCGTATACCGCATGGACATGGCAACGGACACGAACACGCATTGCATCATCTCCCATGGAGTTGATTACAAATGAACTTTTCTGGCTCCTTGACTCGGTGTACAAATATAGAATTCAATATTTTTTGCAGCGTCTTTATTGAATTTCTTGATGAAATCCTCACGCATTGTGGTAATAACATTATCAACGGCACTCTGTTGCAGGAGTGTTACGGTGCAGCCACCGAAGCCACCGCCAGTCATACGTGATCCCAGAACGCCAGAGCAATTAATGGCCGCATCAACAAGAACATCCAATTCTATGCAGGATACTTGGAAATCATCACGTAGTGACATATGTGACTTTGTCATTAGTTCTCCCATCTGTGTAAGAGGTGGCGCCCAACATGAAATGAAAACAAAAAAAGACGGAATGTAAAAAGAGAACGAACAAAAAAAAAAAACAACAACAACAATAGTTGGTCAAGAGAAAACAATACAATTGAAATGAGATGAAGTGCGAAAAAATATATCCAGACTCATGCTACCACTCCAGCTCCCGCTCATGAACATGAACATACATATATCTTTTTAAAAACCCGACTATCATCAATTCCTCATTTTGCTGTTGCAGTATCAAAACATGTGGAAAAAGGACTCCAAAGGAACGCAATTGTGTTTGTGCAAGGACATGGAAGTTAAGCAAGCACGTCTTTTGTTGTTATTAGCAGGAGGAGCAAAAAAAAAGAACGACTGACAACATAAACACACACCCACTCCCCCAAACATAGCCCAGCCAAGAAGCAATTCATACAAATGTAACAGCATATGGTCTGTGGGGCCTCAGAGAGTTCCTTACAATTTCCTGTTAAATTAAATACTTTTAAACTTCTTTCAGTGGTCAGATGTTACAGTTGGCCCTCGCAGAATGCGATTTAATGACTTGGGAAGTAATAAAATCAACGTCCAGATGAAAAAGATCAAACTAGAATCTTGAAATTTTACACAAGGACCGGTCTTTGTGCGATGGAGTGTGATAAGGCTGGTTTTTTTGGAAATGCGTACAGGGTTGTCCATATTCAACGGACCCTTCTGGCAACGCCATAACTTTTGACAGAGATGTCACATCGCTTAAAGACATACCGCGTTTGAAGCGTCAGTCCAAGCAGATTTTTACCATGAACCAATACACCCCACGCGAGCGCTCTGAAATAGTTGAAATTTACATTCAACAGAAGAAGTCAATTGTGAAAACTCAACGTGCTTTTAAAACATTAAAAAATGTGAGAAGTGCGCCTTCTAAGAACACCATTAAGCGTTTATACGAAACATTTTCGACTGGTAAGGCTCTTTCTAGTCCGAAGAGGCCATATAAAAGTCGACCAAGGCGATCGGCCGAGAATATCGCTGCCGTACGAGCCAGTGTTGAGAGGTCCCCAAGAACATCCCAAAAACCCCGTTCTCAGCAGTTGGGCATGGCTCGGTCCACTTTACAACGGATTATTCGCATTGATTTGCATTTTTCCCGTACAAAATTCAATTGACGCAAAGAATGTTGCCTGCGGACAAGCCTCGTCGATTGGAATGGGCCCAAAGAGTCATGGGTCCGTCGAATATGGGCAACCCTGTACTTAAAGGATACGAAAAGGACTAAAATGTACTAAAACTTCAATACTTTGTATTGGACAAACGGAATATACTAGAATTCTGAAATTTGTAATGAGATGTTTGTTATGAGAATCGAGGTTGGAAAGCAAGTTTGATATATGAAGGTGATTTTGGAAATGTATACTAAATGTACTAAATTTGGAACAATTTGGTTCCGGGTGAACTGTTTAAGCAGATATTTTGTAATTTTGCATTAGGGTCCCTGTTGAAGGTAGCTATGTGATATATAAATGGTTTTGGAAAGGCTAGCTATAATTGTACGAAAAGTACTAAGAGTACTATATTTGGTAAAATTTGTTATTTTGTGAAGGGATAGATTTGAAATCCTGATATTTGATATTAAAATATCTTTCGGTGTCTAGAATTGAGATATGAAGGTGGTTTGGAAATGTGTACTAAATGTGCATACTGTACTAAATAGTACTAAATTTGGTTTTGGGGTAAGCAAAAAAAGCTGAAATTTTAAAATTTTGTATTGAGATCCCTGTTAGTGGTATGTTTGTAAAAAGAAGTGGTTTTTAGAAATGAGTAAGTGTACAAAAAGTACTAAATAGTACTATATTTAGTACAATTTGGTATTTGGTGAACGGATAGTGCTTGAAACCTGAAATTTCGTTTTCGTGTCGCTGTTCATCTGTTGTTTGACATATGGTGCGTAATTTCGGAAATGTGTTCTGTAATTGTGCGAAAACTACTGAATTGTACAACACTTAGTATTGGGTTAAGGGATGGAGATAAAATTCTCATATTTGAAATTTTTATTACTGATAGTACCTGTGTTTAAGAATTGGCGATTGTTTCGGACATGTCTCCTATGTTTGTACGAAAAGTGCTAAATTTGGTATTAGGTGAAGGAGTAAGCTGGGATCCTCAAATTAGATATAGGTGTCACTGTTGGTATCCTTGGCTAAGCTATGGGTAAAGTTTTGGAAATGTGAAACGTGAACTATATTTGGTACTTGATGAAAGAAACGAGCTAAAATCCTAAAATGTGATGTTTAGATTACTGATGTTATCTGTATTTTAGATTGGGCGGTGGTTTGAAAATGCGTCCCATATCTGTACGAAAAGTTCTATTAGGTACTAAATTTGGTGTTGGGTGGAGGGATTGGGCTGGAATGCTTATATTTAGTATTGAGGTCTCAGTTGGTATTTGGAATTCAGATATGGAGATGGCTTTGGGAAATGTGCACTGTAATTATACAAAAAGTACTAAATGGTACCAAATTTGGTATCGGGTGAAGGAATAGCGCTAAAATCCTGAGATTTGATGTAGACGTCACTGTTGGTGTCTGTTGTTAAGATATGGAGGTGGTTTTGGAAATGAGAGATTTAATTGTACGAAAAGTATTAAATGGTTCTAATTTTGTCATTGGGTGAAGAGGTAGGGCTGGAATTCTCACATTTGATATAGATGATACTGCTGGTGTTTGTGGTTAAGATATGAAGATCATTTTTTAAATGTACGCTATAAGTGTACGAAAAGCATTTAGTGAAGATACAGCGCTGAAGTTTGATATATATGTCACTGTTAGCGTCGGTAGTTAAGATATGGAGAGGGTTTCGGATATGTGTACAATATTTGTACGAAAAGTATTATATGATACTAAATTTTGTATTGGGTGAAGGAATAAAGCTGACATCCTGAAATGTTGATATAGATGTCAATGGTGGTGTCTATGGTTAAGATATGGAGGTGCTTTCGGATATGTATGCCATATTTGCACGAAAAGTACTAAATTGTACAAAATTGGGATTGGGTAAAGAGATAGACCTGTAATCCCGGAATTTGATTTTGAGGTCTCTGTTGGTATTGAGATTTTAGATATGAAGATAGTTTTGAAAATATGTACTACAAATGTACGAAAAAGTACTAATTGGTACTTAATTTGGTACAATTTGGTATTGGGTGAACAGATAATGTTTGCAGTTTGAAATTTTGTATTAGGTTGGCTGTTCAAGTGTAGCCTCGACATATGGAGTTGGTTTTGGATGTATGTATTATAAGTGTACGAAAAGTTCTAAATGATACTTAATTTGGTATTGGCTTAAAATATAGGCCTGGGTAGGGATTGAGGTACCTGTTGGTATCTGTTGTTGGTACTAAATATGACATTGAATGAAGGAATAGAGATGGAATTCTGAAATTTGATAGGGATATCACTGTCAGCGTCTGTGGTTAAGATATGGAGGTGGTTTTGGAAATATTTGCTATATTTGTACGAAAAGTATTAAAAAGTACTTAATTTGGTACTGGGTGAAGCTGGATTCCCCAAATTTGATATAGATGTCACTGTTGGTGGCTGTGGTTAAGATATGGAAGTGGTTTTGCAAATGTGTACTATAATTTTGCAAAAAGTACGAAATGGTACAAAATTGAGTGGTGGGTCAAGGGATAGAGATAAAATTGAAGTTTGAAAATTGATTTTTTTTCAAACTGAACACGTCGTACATTTTGAGCTCTAAAAACCCTAAGACGAACGGTTGGAACGAATCTATAGTTTCAAGGTGTACTTTTCGGTAACGAAGTAGCGGGCACTTGCGAGTTTACCATAAATCTTGAAATTCAAAAAAGTTTTCAGTCTTTTATAAAACAAGTTAGAAGATAGAACAGACCTTTCAAGAACCCCAAATGTCAAGTTTCAGCTGATATGGTTGGAAATTGTGGCAGAAACCTTGAAAATACCGAAAATCGATGGGTACTGTTATATGGCGGCTACATCAAATTTTGAACGCGAATCGTACACTTTTTGCAAGGAGAAAACAGACCTACAAGGAGTAGGTTATAGCTGATCGTGGACCCATATAACCCATTTCAATACCAATCAACCTGCATATAATATAAACCGTTGTGCCAAATCCCAAAGCTATAGATTAAATAATGTGTTGATTTCAACAGACAGACATCGCTTAATTTACTTTTTGAGAACTCCGATTAATATGCAAGCGGAATGTCAAATTTAATGCAGGAGGAGGGTATAACAAAGGGAGTGCTAATATCTCACAAAATGCCGTATAATCATGAAAGGTTGAACTTATGTATTCATCTGTCGTAAAAAATCGGCATATTCTTTCTAACTTGTCTTTTTCGCGCTCCACCAAAGGGGTCATCTGTATTTTACATTCGATGTCTTTATTGCCCTGCCTTATTACGCCGCTATTTTTACCATGCATTTTGTTGGTGTTTTTTTTTTTCTTGTATTTTCTAAGCAACAAAATTTTATTAAATTATAAACATTGTGGCTTGTTTTATGTGCATAGCTAGCTGGCTAGCTTCTCTTGGATGGTGGTGGTGGATGGAGGTAGTCTAAATGTTGTTTCATTTCTTCATTTATTTGTTTTTCTGCTCCCGTTTTTTCCTCGACTGCGACTAGATATTTGCTAAAAACACGGCATGTGGCTTTAATATTGGCGAGCATGGCAAAATATAAATCTCATTTATAGGACAGTAAACACATCGGAGCTCAGCGGTAACTGGCAAGGGAGTCAATTGACGCCAAGGAACTGGAAAGGCAGGCAGCATTGGGACTTGGGCCTAGGTAGGTGGGTGGGTGTATGCCATACAAATTTCATTTGCTGTCTTTGTTTGTGTGTGTGTGTGTAGCGTCAACATGATTGTTATTGTTATTAAGTCCCAAATGAATGATATTAAAACCACACTCACACACACACACACACATACAAAAATAACCACCAGCGTACAATTCGGTTTGGTT